AAATATTCTCATTCTCTCTCTCTCTCTCTCTCTCTCTCTCTTAAAAAAAAAAAAAACAGGAATGGGCAAACTCCAGATAGTTTCATATTATCCCATTTGCTCCTATTAACTCGGCTAGGGGCTTCCCTGGGTCAGCTCAGACACAAGGGCCTATGTGGCACTCTGAGCGGCTTAACCAGTAAGACTATCGGCCCAGAAAACAAACTTGAGAAGAGAACCACCTAAAGCAATTGCTGAGAGTCTCACTCTGGGTGCCAACAGTGGCCTGTTCTGAGTTGGAGAGACACCAGGGGAAAATAAAACGCCACAGAACGCACTTGAAGTTTCAGCTGGAGCAAAAAACTTTTTCTTGTCTTTGAGAACAAGTTTCCAAACCGCCAGGAATGCCCTGGAGATTTGGATCTCACTCTTGGCTGAGGGCCGCTGTCCTGGGACTGGAGACCAGCTTCAAGACGCTGCCGCCCGCCCCCGACCATCCCCGGCTCTCACCTGCGATGTCCCAGAGCTGCAGGCGCACTACTGTCTCCGGGTCCCAGTGAAGCACTTTAAGCGCGAAGTCCACGCCTATGGTGGCTCGGTAATGCGAGGAAAAGTTCTGGTGCACGTAGCGCTTGATGATGCTGGTCTTGCCCACGCCGAGGTCGCCGATCACCAGCAGTTTGTACAGGTGCTCCTTGTGCGGGGCCTGCATCCTGGCGGCCGGCCCGCCGTGCTGTGCCTGGCCAGGGAAGCACAGCCTGGGCTGGGCGCGGGAGAGAGACCCGTAGCGCAAGTGTGGGAGCCGGGGAGAGGCGTCCGCGGTGGGGCGGGGGCGTAGGGCGGAACTCCTCCCCTGAGGTTAATCCTCCTTCCTACTTCGCTGTCTTGGAGAAGGGTGGAGACAGGAGCTACTCGGGTTCGCGTCTTATTGCCTGTTGCTGCACTTATTTGTACTGTGCTTCAGAGTTTCCACAGAGATTTTTTTTCGCCTTTGATGCCGGGCACAAACCTTTCAGGTGTAGATTTTATTTTCTATGTTTTGCCTGCGAGAAAATTGAGTGTCAAGAAATACCATACAGTGAGGGGGCTGGGAATGTAATTCAGTGGAAGAGCACTCCCCTAGCGCGTGAGGTCCAAGTTCAATCCCTATCTCCTGGGGAAAAAAAAAAAATGTACTATGAGAGAGATGAGCCAGTGAAAGACCTAGGTGAACCCAGGTCTCCCAAGGATACAGGGCTCTATCACCACCCCACACTTAGAGCGTAGAGGCAACAGAGAATGCAATATTAGGAGGCACAACACCAGTATTTGGGTCCTGCAGGGCCCTGGTTTTGAGTAGAGAGATCTTGGGCAATTCCTCTGAGCTCCCCAGGCTCCAGGCCTCAGTGAACTGTCAGCAGCTTTGAGATGTGAACTTTGAACACTTTCACATCTTTTCTACTGTCAATGAACTAGCAAGAAGGAGGCGGGGCTGAAAATGCAATCACATCCATGACTTTCAGCATCTTAAGAGCTCAGCAGCACTGACAATTCAAACAATCGGTTTTATTATCATAAGTAATAATATTAGCAAGCTTTCATAGAGCATTTGCTATGTGCCACAGGTTTTATACATATGTTGCTTAGTCACTCAAGAAGTCTTAAAGATAAGTACCATTATTTTTTCCATCTTACAACTAAGGAAGCCAAGGACTGTCAGACACTTTAATTAGGTCCCAGGGTCAAAGGTTTTGTTGTTGTTGTTGTTGTTGTTGTTTTTTCATTTAATCAACATACATTGAGAACCTTCCCTGTTAAGCACAGCTCTGTGTGCTTGGGATAATACAGGAATAATAATGGAGACAAGGATTCCTAGCTTGAACAAATGTGGAATAAGAAAAAATAATGGTATAGAGTGGCCTGGAAAAGTCTTGTGGAAATGGGGACAATTCAGTGAATACTTGAAGGAAGTAAGATGGGCATGCAGGTCTTGAGGATAAGTATTCCATACCAAAATGAGGTATTGTATACCTGAATATTTTGGGAATGAAGCTCCTCCCACCCACCTTCTTTGCAAACCTCAAGTGGTTTTCCTAATCTAGGTGCAGTCTGGATTATTCTCATCTTTATCTGGTCTCCCCTTCTGATCTAGAGCATATTAGAACATTAGATATTTACTTTTATGTTAAAGGACAGGTAGGGCATGATTCAGGTTTTCTTGGGCACAAAGCTATAAAATTGGGTTATGGAGCTCTTTAAGCAAATGAATGTAAAATTTAAAAATTAAATTGTGTAAGCATGGGAAGGGTCCTGAAACTTCAGCTTCATTGCCTCTCTGAGGGAAAGAGATCACTCTTTCAGGGACACTGGCCAAGAATGGTGAGCAAGCTCCCTGGTCAGGCAGGAAGTATGTACAATTTGTTTCCAGAGGAATTCATTTAGGTCTCATGATAATTTTTCACAGTGGGAAGAAATTACTCTCAGTTTATATTTTTAAATCCTTTAGACGAAAGTGATTTGATAAGCATAATGGACTAGCAGTGCAGTGAAATCTTTGTTAAAGAATCTCTGTCTCTGAACCTGAAAGTGGCTCTTTCTCCCAGCAACTACAAAAAAGCACCCTGCAAGCCTGTCTTCCACTGTAGCTCCCCAAGCATCTCTGGCAATGTTTTGACATTCTCACTACCCTTATATTGCTAAACCACAGCACACCTTCTCCTGAAGAACAGAAAGGCAGATGACTCAATTCTGTAAAAGTTATGTGAGACAACCACAAATTTCTCAGAATTAAAACCTGGAGTGGTATCCCAGAAAGCCTAGCATCATATTTCTCTAAGTCTTCATTCCTGTGATATCCAAAGTGCATACATATGTTTGCACTTATAAAGTAGAAAAATTAATTAAAATGATTGGAAATTGCTTTGCAAATATAAACCTGAAAGGACAATCCCTCATGTTTCCCTCCCAGTGCTATAGGTGAGCTTCTGTGAAATTACCTTATTTGCTTTTGCCATTGAAAGAGCCATAGGGAGTTATTTATTAGCTTGCTTAAGGTCTTAATTATTGCATCAAAGAAATACTTAAAGGACTGCAAGATAGGGCCCTATAGACTTTATTGTAAGAAAGGTAAACTAATTTTTCTTCAATTTGTCTACAAGGAATGTGTAATAAACAGATGACTGCAAGATAGGGTCCCATAGGCTTTTTTGTAGGAAAGGTAAACTAAATTTTCCTACAAGGAATATGTCCTAAAATAGATGGGCCTTTATTTTGCAAAAGATATACTAAGGAATGACCATATAATTTATCCAAACTGAGCCTCCTGAAAGTAATAGGAGAGATTTTAATGATTACACCAAACAACAGGAACAAGCAAGGAATGTCCTTGAGAACATTCATTCCTGAAGCAGAGAGTTAGGGATCACAAATGAGATCTACAAATAACAGGAACATTTGAAAAATCTCCTAAATCATTACTTTAACAATAAATATGTTTGTCAGGTTAAGGCTGAAATTCATTTCTCTGTTGTCTTCAAAAACAAGCAACTAAGATAAATATGGAGCAAAATGATTTTGTGTGTAGTAGAACTTCAACTTCCTTGTATTGAGTACTCTGTGTTTTTAGTAAATTTATTTAATCCTCGCAACCACCCTGTAGCATGTATCCCTTTATATAATGAAGGAAATAGGGCTGAAATAATTTAAATTATCTCCTCAAAGTCACATATATGAAGTGACAAAATGAGAATTTCTAAATCCATGGTTTTTTTTCTAATAAAGAGTCTATTTTTCTAGTAGACCAAGAGTCTATTTCTGTTGCTCCCAGAGAAGGTAATAGTGTCATACCAAGGATCTCCAGTGCATAAGTCCCTAGCCTACATAGGTGATGACATAAGGACTGGTGTGGCCTAACTCAGAAGGATAAAAGTTGCCATAAAATTAAGACCATCAACCCAGCAATTTTATATGCAAAACACCAAAAAGGAATTTTTTGTTTTGGTTGGTTGGCTGGTTTTTTTGAGGACCAGGGTCAAAAAAAGGTTCTCAAATTTATCCAGATGACAGTATAAGATATAAGCCTCTACCATCAAAATGCATTCATTCTGGTCAGAGCATTAAAATATATATGGCTCTCCACCTATACCCTGTGACCTTCATAGACCTTTCACTGCAACTTCCTGTCTTTCCTGTTCATATGTGATTTTCTTGTTTTCCATCTTTGGAATGGGACTTTCTCTGCTTGCACTCATCCACTCCTGTGACAATACAGTAGTTTAGGCTAGAAATTCAACTCTGAAATCTGGTGAATTTTTGATTTCACAAATTCTTCTTCTTCCCAGTTATAAGATCTTAGTAAAAAAATTTAACTTCTGTAAATTTGTCCTTCATGGGTAAATTGAGGATGGCATTAGTTTCTACCTCAAATTTGTTTGGAAGACTAACAGTGCATTAAAGTGCTTAGCATAGTGCTTGGCCCAGGATATCCACCAAAAAATAAAAGTTAAACTAACAAATGTCTGCTGAATTCCACAACTGTACTTAAAACCCCAACATTACACCTACATTCCATACCCTGGTTACAAACTGCCTGCTGGGCATTTCTATCAGGCTTTCTGGCAGGCGTTGCAACTAAAACATGTACAGAATTGAACTTATTATCTGTTCTAACAGACTCGTTCCTTTTCCTGTATTCCTGGTTTAGGGTCGGTGGATCCACCCTTACCACACTATGAAGCCTGAAAACTCACTTGACTCCTCCCTCTATATTGCCCACACATCCTGTCAGCTGAACCTTCTGATTCTATCTCAAATTCCCAAGTTCATTTCCTCTAGTGCATCAAAGTACTATTAGAAGAAAAAGGTGAATATTTATTCTACATTATGGTAGGGATAGAATTTTTAAAGGTGAAATGAAATGCAAAATTATAAAATAAAAATATTTTAGGGGCTGGGGTGGTGGCTCAATGGTAGAGTGCTTGCCTAGCATGTGTGAGGCACTGGGTTTAATTCTCAGCACCACATATAAAGAAATAAAGTAAAGGTCCATTGACAACTAAAAAATATATTTAAAAAAATATATTTTAAGTGTGTGTGTGAGTATGTATATTTTACCAGAAGCAAGGCAAAGGCAAAATGGGGAAATTTTGCAACGTGTAAGAGAAGCAAAAATGGAATATAATTTATGCATATAAACTCATTAAATTATTTTTTAAAACAGATAAAGGAATAAGACATGAATGAACAATTTATCATATAAGAAAAACAAAATGCCAATAATAATATGAAAAGTTATTTCATTAGCAATAAAAATATGAAAATTAAAAAACAATGAGACACCATTTTCCCTTTTCAAATTAATAAATATATTTTAATACTAAAATACCCAAAATTGATGAAGATACAAACAAATAGATACTATCATATAACACTGAGTTCCACCAGTGTTATAAGAATAAACTCTTCAAAGGAAATTTGACAATATGAATCAAAAACCTTAAAATGTAAGTTCCCTTTGATACAACAATTCAATTCATAGGAATTTATGATAAGGAAATCATTAGAGGTTTATATCCATGAATATTTAACTTCAAGAATGCCTATTACAATGTTGCTGAAGTGCTGGGGAGTGATATTGGCCAAACAATATGATTATATTGTGTGCCTATATAAATATGTAACAACAAACAGCAAAAAATTGGAACTTCCTAACATAATCAGGTTAAGTATCATCATGGCATAATTATGTGAGGGCACATTATACAGCCCTTATAAATGATGATAAAGAAAAATATTAAAGCCAGAAAGATGTTCACATTATTTTCTCATAGCATTT